CAAATAATATGCCCTCCCTCCCCGTTTCAATGGCAGCTGAAGCAACAGCAAAGCAGAAGCTGACACCAACCCTCCTCTGGGTCAGAAATGCTGGTTGTGTTTATCTGCTGGGCCTTCATCTTATCATGCTATTCCAGTTGAGCCAGATCTTTGGGAAAAGACCAAGGCTACGATAGTCCTTGACAAGGGAGGTAGAGGGGGAACCAAAACGGCAGAAGCCCAGCTGCAAAGTGACTTGTATAATGTACTCAAAAGGATGGGGATTTAGCCGTCTCCCCATGGTTGGCCCCGTAGCCGTGGGTGTAAAAATCACAGGGTCACCCTCCTTGTGCATCAAACGTTTTATCAGGAACCTGGCATTCCTGTGGGGTCACTGTCAGAGGAACAGTGCCCATTCTGAAATGTACCTGGCCCCTAGGAAGACACTTGTGGAGGTGAAATTAACGCACAGCATGTCTCCCTCTGCTCACAATCTCTTCCAACAGAAGGTCACTTCCTCGCCTCCGCCCCCACTCGTTTTTAACTGTTGGAAGGGGAGTTTGACTACTGGAAGATGCCCAAGGCCATTTCAGCCACTCCGATTCCCCGTTTGGCTTTCGATTCAATCCACTACGGGATTTTGTGTTTACTTTCCCCCTGGTGGTTAATTCTGTTATGTTAACCCCTACATTATTCTCTTTTCAGGAAATCTTTTTCTTCTGAGGAGAGGCCGCCTGTCAGGCCTGCAGCCAGATTCCTTTTTGGATCTTTGGCCTGCCACTCTTCTACCTACTAGGCAGTTTCTGTAGTGGGGAAATGGGAGGGGGATAGTAAGGAGTAGAATGTGATGTAACCAAAATAAAATTTCTTTTAGATTGCCAAGGTCATCCTTTGTCTTGGTGTCTCTGAACCTGACTGGAACTGGATGGGTGGAACTGCCAGCGTGGCAGTGGGAGATTGGACCATGGGATGGGCTTGTGGGTATGGGGGCAAGATCTTGAACTCTCAACTGGGTGTGGAAAACCAGGAAGCCTTCAGATTCGGGTTTTCCCAGATGTGCCAACATGGCTCTCTTCATAAATTGGAGCTTTGAGTAATACTTTGCCTTGGAATCTGGTTTCATTTTGGATGTTATTTGGAATCCTGACACCCCCATACCTCTGTTCCACCCCCCCTTTAGCCAGTCTAGGGAAGCAGCCTGGATCTGGAACACATTCCAATGCAGTCAAAGCAATTTTAACACATTTTCTTTCTTTTTATTGCCAGTAGAAACAGACAGTCCACTAACCGAGATTCACGTAGCTAAGTTGCAGCAGAATTGGAGTCGTACACAGTTAATCCCCCTCCCCCTCCCAAGTCCCCTACGGAAGGATATGGTTCACCTTGAACCCTCCCGTCTCTCGGGCAAATGGCTCCCCAGCCCTGTAAGCAGTTCTGAGCAGGGAGCCACCATTTTGCCTCCTGCAGGAACTGATTCAGCCTCTTGTGCTTTCACTGGTATCTGGGTTCTAGAAAGCCAAAGCCAGAGTGGGGTTCCCAGGAACAAACAGTGAGACGGCTGGAGAGCATTCCCTGGGAACCCCGGGGAGAAATCCCACCGCCCGCCCAAGCCGGATGCAGCAGCAAAGGAGTGAGAGGCCAAAGGGATGGCAGCCAGAGAGGCTGCACTTGGTGGGGGTGGCCGGAGGCTCCTGGGTGGATGAGAGAGAAAAGAATCAGCTCCAGCAAGATGGCCTGTTGCTTACAGGTCTCCCCCTTGGTCCTGCCTCTCTTTTCGACGCACAGCCCTTTTCTTGGTTTCTGGCTTCTCCTACTGGCGTTCCGCCTCTTCCAGCAGGCCAGTGATTGTGCTTATCAAGTCCTCGACGAGTAAAGTCCCCGCCCTGTATAGTTCAAGGAGCTCCTGCCTTTTATCCTGAGGGACGTATCTAGAAAAGAGGAGATCCAGAACACACATGCGTTGCCCCTTATATTCTCCCACCGTCACAGGGACCAGAGTGGCCCTCAACGTCTTCTTCAATTGCAGCTGCTGAGCCTGGGACGCACTGTCAGCTGCTGCTGTGGAATCGGGGCTGCCGCTTGTTGACCAGCCTCTGCTCGGCCACTCTTCCCCCCCCTCGTCTGGGTGGATGGTGCCGATCACCGCCGATTCCATCTGATCAAGGGTGAGATCGCCCAATTGATAGAGCTGCAGCAGCTCCTTCCTTTTCTCGTGGGAAATGTACTGAGAATGCAGCAGATCCCACAATGAGGTTTCTTTTCCATGGAACTCAGCAACTGGGAAATTTAACAATCGAGACTTTAAATCACTCTGTGAGTGAAATGTGCTTTCTACCAAAGGCTCCTCAGAGGCTTGGGGAAAGGAAATGTTTCCTAGTGAAGGCTCGCAAAAGACAGAAGCCCCATCGCTTGAGGTCCCCATTTGTGTAACCGCAGTAGACATCACCCTGCCATCTGCAGGGACACTACCTGCCAATTCTCGAGATTTGAGGTGACTCATTTCCTCACTGGTCTTAGACACACACCTGAAAAAGAAAGGATCCCAGGTGGATGTTCTCTGGTCCTGGATATTACGGATAATGTCATTGATGTCCTCCAACTCCAATGTGTACTGAAAAAGGTCATACTGTGAAGGATGCTGATTTCCTGATTTCATGTCCTCTGTCTTATTGACGATGGCGGTGACCACGGTCTCCATCTGGTCAATGGTGAGGATGCCCGATCGGTACAGTTGTAGAAGCTCCTTCCTTTTCTCCACAGGGATGTACTTGGAATGAAGTACCTCCCACACCGACACTTTACGCCCGTGAAACGCCGCAGCCGTGACCTCCACCTTCCGGGACTTCAGAGCCTCCTCTTTCCGCAGGTCGGCAGGATCCTCTTCCCCCCATTCTCTGGTGTCTTCGGCCTCGGCACTTGAGCTGGAGGTGTGGAAGTCTGTGGGAAGATGACGTTCGCTGCTTGTGGCTCTGGGAAGGCGGTCGGTGAGAATCTTTGTGAGCTCCTCAAGGGGGAGGCTGCCCCTCCTGTATCTGCTCAGAAGCTCTTCCCGTTCGTGCTCTGTGAAGCGCTCGGAGAACAGAATGTCCCAAGCGGAGAACTGTTGGTCAGGGGAAGGTGTGGGGAGGAGCTGA